TCTCTCTCTCTCTCTCTCTCTCTCTCTCTCTCTCTCTCTCTCTCTCTCTGCATGTGTGTGTTTGATGTGAAGTCAGAGAGATCCTGCAAAGCCACCTCCCTAGTGTAACCAGAGTATCGATATGAAGGCAGGAAGCTTGAATGTTCTAGTTAGATGTCTTATTTCATGCTTCTTCTAACATCTTATTGAAGCAGAAAGAATTTGCTAATGCATGTGACTTTGTCTTGTGAACATAAAATTAGGGCATATTACCTGATTAGGTTGAATACTTTGTTTAATAAGCAAACAAACAAAAAAGTTGAGCTATAAGGGCCCAGTAGCCTAGTCTCTAGAGCTCCAGTAAATGTGAAACTAGTCACTTTGAGTTCAGAACTATTTCAACCTTGCTGGCTTTTTTTTTTTAACACTTTTGAGGTGTTTAGATTCGATAGCCTATAGTATTATCAGTCAGAAGCTTGTTACTTAAAACGCTTCCTTCATTTTCTTGATGATTTAAACTAAAACCAATTTTGAACAGAGTAATTATCTTTAATAAGACCCCCAAATCTCATGTAATGGGCACCTTTAAATAGAAATCCAAAATGCTGTTGATGGGCTATGCTTCAGCAATAGTACCAGCCTTAAAAGTCTCATTCTGTAGAGAACAGAAATGTAACTGAGCATTTCATCTTGGAAATACTCCATTTGTGTGTGTGTGTATGTGTGTGTGTGTATTGCAGGGTTGGGGTGCGGGGCCATCTGAACAGTTAGTGGAGAGTGTTTTCCACATATACATGTTATCTCTCTCTACTCAGAGGCTTTCAGTCTTGTAATTTCTCATGTACTATGGCAACACTTGAAACTTCAGCGCTGTCTTCCAGCGGAGCCTTTGCAGTCCTGCTGACTTGAAGCAGATGTCACTAACACTCAAAAGGAAAGAATGTCTCTACCAGGCCTGTGTCTTGTAAAGACACAAGGTCTGAAAATTTTCCACTGTGGCCCTTACATCTCTTCATCCCCCGAACAGCTGTTCCTCCCCTCACCCCTCTTGCATATGACTGGTCCTCAAATGTTTCTCTCCTATCCTCTTGATAAAACCCAGATTGTCCAAGCAATGACTGCTAATTCAAAAGAAAAAATTCCTCTGTGTCTAAGCTAGCTGGACTTGGGAAGATCTCTACACTGTGCCTTAGGAGCCGTCACACTCCTGTCCCCTCCAAGGGAGATGCTTCTTTAGAGACCTTTGTGAATATTGTGTTTTATGCTAATGATTGATTTCCTTCAGGGTCAATTCCATAAGACAGTATTCAACTGGTAATACCATGCATTAAATCAGTAATTTTAAATATTGACTTTTTGCAGCCCACTTTCTAGTTCAGAAAGATTCTTTAAGGTTTTTATATGTTTAAAAGGTATATTTTGGGGGCTGGGGAGATAGCTCAGTAGAATAAGCGCTTGCCTGGCAAGGGTAAAGTCCTGAGTTCAATTCCCAGTACCACAAAAAAAAAGGTTATATTTTGGCACATTAATCAAACATACCAATTTGATTACACTATAACATGTCTAATTTTCCTAACTAAAATCTACTGAACCAACCTCTTCAGGCTCAATCAGTTTAAATTCCATGCCTCGACCAGTCCAGGCGATAAAATGAGAATTTGAAGGGTCGTCCAGAAGAGCTACCAAAAACTGCCAGAGCTGAAGTGATCCTCGTCTCTGGTATGTGGGTCCTTCCCGGTACATTCCTGGCTCCTGTTTGATATCCCCTAAATTTAAAAAAATTGTTAAAGTGTCTATTAGTAGCAATACTACGCTTTTTCTGTAAAAATTCTCATTACTTAGCCATTCAAATGATTACAGACAACTATTTTTTGGACTTCTTTGTAATAGAAATAGAGACTCATAATTATGCAATTGAATATAAACTAGCATTCTATACAATGTATTTTTTCAAGACTACGCACTTGTGTAGAATAAATCCATAAATGTCAGACTTGCATAAATTTTTTATATACAGTAATTCTTTTTCATCATGTATTTAAAAATATATGGTCTAATCATATATCTTTGCTTTTATTGTTAATGCCATCATTTACCACTTTAAGCAACACTGAAGAGGAAGAAATTGATTTTAAGTTCTGGGCATTTTATTTATACAAATTAAGTTCTGCAAACTGCAATTTACCAATACTTTATTGACCTGTACATGAAAAACTATTGAAATTTTCTTGCATGTATATAAAGCAAATTTAATAGTATCATAAACTCTGAGTTAAGTACTTTGTATGTTACATTAATTTTGAAAATCTCCCAGGTAATTAAGGTCATACTAGATTTCCATGCTAGAATATTGTTTCCATACCTTCCCATCTCTTCACCTGAGAGATACTCCTTTTTTACCTGGCAACAAATAAGACTCCTCATTTGTCTTTCTTTATATCTTTATATATTTTGCCCACTTGAATTCAGCATGTTAATCTTTTTCTAAAAGTGTAATTTAAAAATATACAGACCATAGCTTTCAGTAAATCTGTATTCTCAAGCAGGAAAGATTTTTTTTCATGTTATGTTTATTTGACATTCAGGTATAGTATAAAAATCTGTTAAAAGATGTTATGGTTTGTGTTTAGTTATCCCCCCCAGAAGCCTCATGCAGTCATTGGGGTGACTTCTCAGTTTGTTATTAATTCTTGATCCAATTGAGGATTATGGGCGTGAGCGCAACACCCACCCTGGGGTGGGTAATCTGAGTACAAATGTAAGTGGAGGAGAGAGGCTTGCTAGCTGCCTCAGAGGCTGCCCCTCTCTTTGCCCTGTGCTCTTTTCCACCACCCTCAATGGCTGCCTTCAACCATGTGCCACTCTGCCTAGGAGTGAGCCTAGTATACACTGAAACCTCCACAAATTGAGAGGTAAATAAACCTTTCCTTCCTTAATTTTGAGTGTCAGGTATTTTTTTCCCAGCAACTAGAGAAAAGTAACTAAGGCAAAATGTGATAATGCTGTTAGCATTATAATGTTTCTGGTCTAAATCTGGTCAGTTATCCAGGCTTTACAAAACAAAATAAATGTTGTGTCATGACCAGCCTTCTAAAAAATATGTAGAATTAGTCACATTGGGGTTGGATATCTAGGTCCATATAAGTACAGTACATGATTGCTTTGTTTTTTTGGTACTGAGGTGGGAACTTGGACCTTGTATTTGCCAGGCAGGCGCTTGAGCTGCTAAGGCAGCTCCTTGGCTATAGTACATCATTGTTAATGTTTACATTTCTTTTCTCCACTAAATGAACAATTCAGTGAGCATATATTCCAGCGAATCCATTCACACCGAGTATGAATTATAAAATGTACCAAATCATATGCTCCATAAAATTTTGCTTTGGTCAACAGATAGGACTATGGCTCTTAAAATAACTGCAAAACAAACACCACTTTAAAAAGTTAACCTGAGGGCCTGGGGAGATAGCTCAATAGAGCAGGCGCTTGCCTGGCAAGCGCAGGGTCCTGAATTCAATCTCCGGTACCACACACATTAAAAAAGCTAAAATGAGATGTAAACTTATTTGGTTAATACATAGTCAAAATCACTATAGAGTTTTGCTCCTACCTAGAAAACATAGGAGCACATCTTCACATTGATTTCAATGACAGCTTTATTTGTCTCAGTCTTCCTTCTGAGACAAATTTTTTATTGGGTAAGAAAAATATGCAGAATAAAACATTCTCAAATTTTATAGTTTCTACAGTGCTGCTACCTATAAATATGACTGATCATATGGGCCGTGTATACAACAGCAACAACCTTCCTTTTACTTTTTGCTTTTTCTCTATTACCTACAAAATGCAAGAAAAATATTATCTTTTTGAAAATGTTTTCTTAGTACAAAATCAAAGATTATTTAAAAATTAAAGGGAATATTCAAGAGAGTTAGTTCCCTAAACAGTAGTGTGACTTTGGCTCCTGGATTGTAACATAATCTTGCCCTGAGATTTAAGACATTTCCCCTCCTTACTTGTCCCTACCAATCACATCCTTCTTTGAAATGTGTAGCTCAGCATAAATGACCGGAAATGATGAAGGTCACCCCAACAAGCAGAAGTTTCTTTCCCTCAAAAGAAAAAGTTGTATTTTGAGAGTTGTGATGCTATGTTAATGGTGCTAAATAACAGAGCTCAATCTGCAGAAATTAAGCTTAGAACATGGATTGAGGAATAAAGCTCAAAGAGTGACCCTTGCTGGGATTCTAACTGTGTCTTCTAATGAATTTAGCAATTTTAAGGTAACAGGTAAACAATTTAAAACACCTTCTAACATTTCTAAAAATACAAGAGTATAAGAGTAGCAAGAAGCATGGGAACGCAGTAATCTTCAGTAACTAATTAGAGATTGAAAAGCAACCTGAGCATACATTCTGCTGCTTAAATAATGACAATTAAAAGCTCCGAGAGTTTCCAAGTCATTACAGCCTGATCCCCAAAGTTTGTGCAGTCAGCTAATCAGAGCGCCCCTGCTTGCTTCCTGTTGAACAATCAAAGCAGGAAATATGAAGACCACTCCGCAGAACCACCAAAAGAATTAGCTGCTCACTTCTTACCCAGGCTGCCTTGCAAATGCCCACTTTTGCCACCCTTGTCAAGAAAAAGAAGATTGTATCTAACTTGATGCCCTTTTTTAAGATCCAAGGCCTTTTCTTTGAAACAGTGAGTGATATTTAAAAAGGCAATGCTTTCCTAACTCCCTTTTAAGTAATTACAAAGTAATGTTACATTAGTAATGCACATCTTCCTTAGGAAAAAAAAATAGGGACTAACAAGCACTAACTAAATGGGCAGTTATATGGTTCCTGTGCTCCATAATGCATCTTTTCATGAACAATAAAAGAAAGGAAGCTGCATTAGTCATCAGTGCACCCACAGTAGCATGCTTTCTGCTCTGCTTTGTTAATTACAGGATCAGCTTTCAATAAAGCTGGAATAACAAGCTGCATGTGCTCAACAGGGCAATGGAAAGACCCCTCTTTCGCTTCACAACGCCCAGAAGAACGACGCTTTCTGCCTATAGCGCCAAAAATGGACTCTCATGGAAAAGAGGAAAAAGGACTCTTAAGGGAAGAAGAGAGAATTTATAGTAAATCAAGTTTAGCTAGAATGGAGGACTTGCTAAGTGAGGTGCACAGAAATCCTTAAACAGTATGTAACTGATTTTGAAACAGGGAAGGTGACAATGACATTCTCTCTTAGAAGAATCAAAACTGAAAGCTCAGTGAATTTACTTACCATCGAATTTCTCTGGGACAACACAGGTGTCATCATAAAACTGCCTGGGGCCCTTTTCAAACATACAGCCTGTGGGGGGGAATGGGCCACATTTAATAATGGTACCAAAAAAAACTTTATAAGACCTTTAAGATATAGACATTAATGCACACATTGTTCTAAGAGAGATTCTACCACTCTGGCCCTTTAGTTCTGGACATACTGTTTAACCTCTTTGCTTCAGTTTCCTCATCTACCCACTAGGAATGACCACTGTCTACCATTTCACTGGGTTCTGGGATTAAATAATTCAATGTACAAAATGCCCAGAAAACTGTGGTATGTAAACTTTAGTTGTTTGTTATTGTAAGCCAAGAACAGATCTCACATAAATATTGGCAAAGCTAAGATTTGTATGTTTTCGTCTCCCTTTTAGTTCTTTCTTAGTTTTTTAAATTCATGAAGAAAAGATAATCTCTGATTTACCGGTACTTGTTTCCTATTATTACCATTAATGCTCTGTTTCAGATTCTTTTTTTATTTCCTTATAAAAATATCTAGGTTTTTTTTTTTTTTACTTCAAAACTATGACTTATATCTGTAAAAGCAAAACTGAACATTTTTAAAGAAACACTTCACTAGAGTGCAGGAAGGTGGACTAATCTATAAACCTCATGTTCGACTTTAAAGGAATGTGGCTGTTGGGAAAAAAAGCACACACAAATCCACTTTTCAGCTATTTCTATGTTCAGACTCATGTTAACATGAGCTATCAGCACCATAAATAAAACCTTCCTTTTACTTTAAAAATATAGACGTTTTAAAATAGTGGTTATGGGAACATGAATGAATTTTCCCAAGGCATATTATGATTAACTAAGGGGCCCCCTATTTTGAATGTCTATTTTACAAAAAAATTTAAAAGTAGAAGACTTAACTTCTGTTCTACTGGGATGAGTCAGGAAGCCTTCTTGCCTCATATAAATGGAGTGACAGCTAGGCACTTCTGAAAGCAAAAACAAAATTAGTCAAAGTTGGTCAGGCACTAAAAGGGTACTGTTTTTTGTGAACAGATAGCTAGAAAATTTACAATACTGGCGCAAGTCCCCAAGAGGAAGGTCATTCAACATGTGGTTAATATTTCTGGTAGGTCTCACACATTGGGAATAATACTACTGATATTTCATAAAAGCTTGTTAGGAGAAGTATACAAGGCAAGGATTATGCAATGTATATATCCATGACATATTATATGCATTAAAATGCTATGGAAGGCTCATTCATAGTTTATTTCATGAACACCTGATAGAAATTATTATGAAAAAAATCAAAACAGCTAAATCTCTGTAATGCGATTGCTATATTGTCTATAGAAAAAAGGCATGACTGGCTCTTCATTTTGTTGAGGACATTAGTCATAAATCAGAACCAATGATTAATCCAAAACAAGTGTGACAATTCACAGCAAATATTTTTTAGCTTGGGATATGGGTTGAATCTAAAATGGCCTGGAAAGGCCACACACTGGGTGCTGGTTGCTAAGCTAATGGACTCTTAGGGGCTGATTGGATCATGAGGTCTCTAAGGACATCAGTGGATGAATCTGTTGGCATCATTGGGAAGTGACGGTAACTGAGAAGTTGAAAAGAACAGGTCATGAGCCGTGACCTTAAAGACTATCTGTCCAGACCTCCTCTCCTTGGCGCCCTCTGCTTCCTGCCTACCATGAAGTCATGAGCTTTCTCCTTTGAGCTCTTCCACTGTAATGTTTCTGCCCTGCTACACACCTGAAGGGAATGGAACCACTATAACTATGGACTGAAAATATGAGTCAAAAATAAAGCTCTCCAGCTTTACTTTGGGGGTACCTTGTATTTTGCAAGAAGTAGAAAACTAACATACTCTATGAGAGAGGCCTTGCCTACATGAATGAGGTATCTCATCACTGACAAAATAAACTCGGTTAACTTGTACACCTGAGGCATAGTGCTGCTCCATAGTGAATGTGTTTATAGTCTAAGTACAGGAAAAAAAAACTGATATGGAACAGCAAACAGAGATTAGAGTTCAAATCCTTCACCTAATGTGAATTATGATACATAACTTATGATAAATCATTGGTGTCTGTATTTCTCTAAAACGAAGATTTGGGCCCAAGCTCCTTGATTCTGAATGGAGAGTTTCTCGCATGGGTAGATTCATGGTGAAGCCAATGAACCTTATCTTTCATGATCCTCCTCTTTCATATGAGTTCCTCCTGAGGCGCTGCACCTAACTTTATATTGGCAGCTTTATTTGTTTTTATTAAAAAGAGTTTCCCAGATGGTAAGTTTCAGGTTCCACAGGTCTGGGCTTAACTCTGCATTCAACAAGCATAGGTTATATAGGAATGTATAGATCCATGTGACCAAATTAACTGGATCATCCATATGCATAAATAACTAAAGCTTTCCTAACAACACCTACAAAAATAAACTTTTAAAACACATCTGGGGCCTGGGATATAGCTCAGCAGCACAGTAACTGCTTGGCAAGTGCAAGATCCTGAGTTCAATTCCCAGTCCCTAAAAAAAAGGGGAAAAAAAGCATGTGACAAAAATGCCTATTTACTATAAAAAGCATGGCCTCATTCCTCCACTAGTCTTGAACATATGACTACTAGAGAGGTAATTTTAAAAATTAGGTGAGTTGGAATCTAAAGCCCTTTATCTCTTCATAACTATCCATCTGCATATTCTATTGTTATAATAGAATGCTAGCTCTAGTTACGTAGTCTAGAGGTAGTTCTTCCTTAGTCTGATATGTTCCATTAATTTTGTGAGTGTAATTGTTTTTAATTTTGCATTGTCGTGGATGGGACATATATTTTGGCTCAGTGATGAATATTAATCAAAATATGAAGAATTTTGTCACAGGAAAATTTGTCCAATGTTTGAGTCAAAATAAATGGAAACCCATACTACTACTAATATTTTAAGGTATGAAGGAATTAATAACCTATAAGTTAGACCCAGTAAAGCTGATTATCAACCACTTCATTACCACATGCCTTCTTATATAAAGTACTATGTAGTATGTAGAATTTTGATTCTAAAAAGGCTGGGTTAACCTGACTCCTGATATCAGCATTTTAAAAAAGTTGAAATATAGTTGATCTTCTAGGTCACTGAAAATTAGCAATCTGTGTTATCACAACTTTTTCACCAATGACATTTCGAATTAATTTTTAATGTTTTCTGATTTATTGCCAAGCCTAAGGCTGCTCAAGCAGCTGGGTCGGGAAGGGACAGTGTAATGACAGCCGTCAGTTTAGCAGCTGTTCTGAGGCAAGCACTTCACTGTACCAGTGTTGACACCCAGCCACTAAACACTTTTCCTGACACTGCACACCTGGAGCATGGTGGTAAGGACAGCTGGCTGGCTCTGGGGACAGCAGGAGGCAAGCAGACTGGCTAGATTCTGTCGGATGTACGTGTGACCAAATGTGGTTTCTCCTTCCCAGAGGTGCAGAAAAATAAAAAGCAAAAGCAGAAATGCAAACATTCCAGAAAATGCCACTAGTCAGAGCTCAAAAAATGCCTTATAAAAACTTTTATCTTAGTACAATGCAAAATTAGCACGATTCTGGAAAACTGAATCAAAGATGTTTGAATCAAAGGTAAGATCTGATGTACAATTTCACAAATACTAATCAATTAGATGAGCTGATTTGTTGCTTATTATTGTACTTAAGAGCAATCTCATAAAATTTTGGTATTTATGTATAGTGTTTACGTGTATTGACTTAACATTCATCATAAGTTAATGGCATATAATAAAGCTAATGCCAGATTGTTCATTACATTTTCAAAATCGTAACACGTGATCTAAACTTTTATATTAAAAAAGGAATAAATGAAAATATAATAGCACAACGAGAATATAATTATTTTCCAGTCCCTACAACTATTTACTACATCTTAGAGTAAGCAAAATTAATGGCCAGGGCATGAAATTGAGACACTTGGCTAACATTGCTTCAATCCAGTCTATCTTTAAAAAGTAGGTATCCTCTATCTGGTCCAGAGAGGCCTGAAAAAAATGGCTAAGATGCTTATTCCCATAAAGTAGTGAAAATCATGTTATCTTAGAGTGATACCAGTTAATTTATGACTATCAGAGTGGGTCAGAGTCTAATCCAATTGTAGAAGCATTTCCAAAGTGATTATTCAATCCAATGACTAACATGGTTAATTAGGGGCCATAAACATTGCTCTGAAGTTCATCAAAGTAATGACTTGCTCAGAAAAATTACTGCTAATTAAATTGCCTGCTCCTTTCGTTTCTACCTTATCTGATAAAAAATCCAACTGACGAAGTTTTCCAATACATTTTAACTTCTGCTAAACGCTTAACTAAGATCAAAACTAGCTAAGTGACCACTTCAAAGACAAATGCTTTGCATCAGGGTAAGGAGGTATTGCGTACATATCCATTTCTTTTTTTTTTTTAATTTTTTTTTTATTTTAACATTTATTGTGTGTGTGTGTGTGTGTGT